AAACACAAGAAATGTCAATGCTGTAGTCCCTGTGATAATTAAAACCTTGTCACAGACCTAAACTATCAATGAATATTTATTTTAAAATGATCTTGCAATAACACCAAAAGTACAACAAAAGAAAAAAAGGATAAACTGAACATTGCGCCTCTAAAGGACACCAGAATAAAAGTAAAACAATCTACAAAATGGGGGCGGGGGGGTGTGATTCCACTTACATGTAAAGTACAGAAGAGACAAATCCATACATACTGGCAGTACATTGGTAGTTCCCTAGGATTTGGGCCGGGGTGTGGTGTGCTGTGGTGCTGTGTATGTGTGTGTGCTGACAGGGAGTGGGCTTTGAAGGGAAATAGGCATGACTGCTAATGGCTAGGAGACAGTTGGTAAGAGGTGGGGTAGAGGAGGTGAAAGTATCCAAAAATTAAACAGTAGTAATTGTACATCTCTAAACATCCTGAAAAAACCACTTTCTTGGAAACTTAGGTATGTGAAATACTTCTCAACGAAAGTCATTGAAAAATAATTTGCAAAAATGTAGTATGTTTGAAACATACACAGATGACTGCTTCCATCAACTAACTGAATGAGTGTTCAATGGGAGGAAAATGACAGTACTTTATTCTCTTCTACTTAATACATCTCCAGAAATAAGATACCACACTTTAAAGTACCAAAATTTGTTAAACAGTTCTTTGTATCATCAGCTGCTCCTATGAAAATTAAATCTATTATAAATAGACAGTAAACCAAATACTGTAATTGTTGAAGATTTAAGCATCAGTTATGGTTATGAAGATTTTTTAGAAGCACCCTTTGACTATTTGCTGTTTCAAACCTATTAACAATAAGAAATCAGTTTATTATTAAATAATTATCCAAATATCTAAGAAATTTCCTTTAGCTAATTAATGTATTCACCCTTAAAAAATTTATTCATAAATTAAAACAATCAAAATAAATTAATGAGGCTTGGTATCTCAGTCCTTCCCCCACCCCATTTACTAATCATCGGAAAATGTCTTCCTTATGTCGTCATACTGTGATGAGGGACCTAGTGTAAGGAGGAGTCAGTAGCAGCTGGCTGGTGGAGAAAGCTGAATTCGTGCACTGAAGGCATCGCCATGAATGTGGGAAGGGCATCACAGCACCGCGAACACGCATCTTCCCTGCTACCGCTTACATGCCGTCACCCTGAACAATCCCCAGCAAGCTGTGCCTACGTTGGGGGCTGCTGGGACGGTCCAAGCAGATATATAAATTGAGGTGAAAAAAAGGAAGGAAAACACACATAGAGGGGAGACAAAGAAGAAATATGTGAATGAGAGATGCATGGGAAGGCTATTTCCAGTTCTTGGCAGAGACAATGGCAACCGTTGCTTTGACCCCGTGGTGGATAACATGGTACATTTTGAATTCTGGAGCTTTCCTTCTACCCCAGTTCTTGGAGACCCACCCTTTTCTTGTGGCTTCTTGCAGACAGCTGCCTTACCCCGGCGGTGAGCTTTCCAGCCTCAGCCACGGATTTCCGGCTGTGCCTGTCTGACTGGGTTTTTGCCTATTAGGGGAAAGGTGATTTTTGGAGTTTGGGAATCTATTATTTGAAATTCCTTTTCTCTCTCTCCCCACCCCCCCCCCCGCTCCTACATGCACCCACCTACCCATACACACACACACCCATACACACACACACACACACACATAAATATCAGTTCTTTTACACTAAGAGTCTGCTTTCTTTACCTCTGTGCATGTGGCATGCCAAATAGGTTTATACCCTCAATAGTTTGGGGTCCCTGGCCATCCCTAAGCTATGCAGTTACACTACAGAAAACTTACAAAGTTCACATGGGGAAGTCTGTTTCATTCACAAGTGTTATACCATTTCTGCCCACAAAGACCACTTCTTTCTCTGAATTCTTTTAATACTTTGGCTTTTCTGGATATAATGAGTAGAAAGAATCAGAAGGTGACTTAGTATAAGCATAAAGAAATTCCAGTAACAGATAAAAAGTAAAAGAAATATAAACTGTAATTTACACTTACTATTATGTAAACCACTAACATAACCATTTGTGTAAACTTAAGTAACATACAAAATATTTAACATAAAGAACATGTACTTACCAAATATTTAGATAGCTGTTTAAAATTCCTACTGGTGGCTGAGACTCCCTAAATAAAAAAAATAAAATAAATAAAGATTTTGAAACATCAGAAGTTACCCTTTTTCTATAAAAATCTACCCAAGAATCCAATTTATATCTGATTTTTTTCATAACCAGGATCAACAGCCAAAGTTCAGCAGATAATAAACATAAAAACAAGAATGTTCATAATCTTATAAATAATTATAACCTCATGTTAAATGGAAATGCTAATAAATTATCAAGACATTGGCGAGCGCACTAGACTACAAAACGGTTAAGCATTTTTAAAATTACTAACCAAGACAACAGAATGCTAACAACATCTCAGGCATTCAGGTACTAAATTTTTCTAGACAGTCAACACACATTGTGGCATTCTGCATTCTATTATCTAGTTACCACATTTGAGTAGCACTAGATAATATAAATCATCTATAGAGTTAAAGTACATTCAGTGAAGTACAAAGTATCCACTCTATTTGTATTTAAAAATTAACATTAAGGAAGCATTTCAAAATCCACCATGTTTCATATGGTACTATGAAAAAATAAACTAATTTTACCCACAATAAAAAGAAATATATAAATTAACAAATTCAACTTACTAGTTACAAAAGTTAACTATGAATAATTTTCTAATAATAGACATAGTACATAATAAACAAGTTCCTCAAATCTCAGGTCAAAATAACCTTCAAAACAAAGTTCAAAATTTCAAGTAAAAAAGCACTCAATATAATAGAGTTCTTATGTTTGCTAGGGACTATCGCTCAGGACTGGAAGCAACTTACACACTCTTTATGAGAATCATCTTATATATTTCATTTTGCAAATTAAACAACCAAGCCTTGTAAAAGTAAGTCATTTGCTTAAATACAGTAGCTTCCTTTGACTGCACAACCCAATGTCTTTAAGGAACCACACTATGACTGCTCAAAAACAACACAAAGCAAAACAAGTGATATAAAATATGACACACTATGAAATAGTATCTAAAGATAGCATCTGTAGAGTCAAAGAAAATGTTTTTAAATTCCTTTTAGAGAATGACTAGAATATAAATTCATCTTAGCTAGCAAGAAATGTTACCATAGAAATTATAATATCACATATAAAAATAAAAGGTTTTCTTATGAGCCATCCCTATAGATTACTGCTAAGGACAAAGCCAATCAAATGAATTACAACCATCCACAAGCAATGAAGAGAGCCAAGAAAGAGATATATTAGAAATCTACACAATAAAACTTCCGTAAGATATAGGAAATATTACCATGATTTTGAAGTAGGCAAAGATTTCTTAAAAAGTCACAGAATAAAAAACATCAACAAATTGGACCTTGTTAAAATGCAAAGTTGAATATGCAAGCTAGTGGATAGGAGAAAATATTCAAAAGTCACATGTCTCAGCAACCAATTCATCTCAAAATAGATCTATTAAAAAAATTTAAATCATCAAGAAAAGACAACCCAATTTTTAAATAGGCTAGCAACCAAACAAAATATGACAAAAAAATTACAAAAACTAATAAACATACTGAAAAAGTGCTTAACATTACTATTCATAAAGCAATCAGATAACACAGTAGCGCAAAAATGACTATCTGCTTGTCTTGACCTGCTGGTTTTTTGCTCCTCAGTAAAAAGGGCAGGGCCCTGAACAATCCCTAGAGGCACAGCATACTCTGGACAAACTTATTGACTCATAAAGACTCTACAAAGAATTTCCCAAATATTGGGTTGCTTTTTCTGTAAGAGTCTAGCTTGGCAGTGACCAATCCAGTCAGCCAGGACACTGTCAGATTTCCACTTTAAGGTGGGCTGGTAAACCATTCATTGAAATTTTGAGATATCAACTACACAAGGAACACAAAACTGATTTTTAAAATCAATCAAATTCCTTCCCTCCCATCCCACATCAGACAAGTGCTTCTTCTAACTGAGGTGTACTTTATGGCTTATTTTAACAAGAAACTTAACACATAACTGCTTTGGGAAAATTCTGATAAAAAGAAAACTGTTGATTTTGAGTGACACCTTAGAACAAAACAAGGGAGAGGGGAGCAAATCCTCTCTCAAAATAAGTTTCTCTTTTCCAAAAACGGAACCATCCATTTACTGATGGGATAAAGAAGGAGTCCCCCAGAGATCACACATATCAGCAAAATACAAATACCAGGGAAAGAACCCCTATCTTAATTCAGAGTCTACTTTGCAGCTGAGAGTAAACAGATCCTAATATCCTTTCTAGCAATACTGAAGATCTGAGAGATTTATAAGGATGTAAGCAGAACAGTCTTCCCCCAAATCAAAAGATACACAGTAAGTCTAGGGGTTGCTCACTGTTCATTCAGCAATAAAACTACTAAAGATTATTCCTGAGCCATAACCATATAAATGCAGTTATGTGAAAACCTATAGCATCTTGAAATAATGCTAGTGACAAATTCCTACGACAGGGCAGTGATATTTTTTGTTGTTTGTTAATTTAATTGTAGAGGTGGCAAAGGCAGAGCTAGACTAGTAATAGAGAGTTTAGAAGATAGAAACTCAGCTAGTCAAGAATTGTAAAAGTAAGCATATCATGATCAGATCTTGAATTGCCTGGGACAAAGCATAAGAAATCACTTTCAAATTACTCATCGCCTATACAACTTAATGACTTATACTAATTACAATACCTCACAAATGAACCAGGTATAAAGCAACATATTACCTACAGCTTCTATAAAAAACAGATCCTCTTCCAATCTTGAATGTCTTCAAAACACCTCACGTAATTTTTTAATAAGAATGTAATTTTTTTTTTACTTTAATAACCTCTTTCTCCTTTCTATTTCCTTTACAAAGGGGCACAGCACTCTGTTTTTACACTCGAAGGCCTTGTCTGACTGTTGCAAAACTACAAAGGAATGCATTAAAAGAATCGTTCAACTCTCCTGCATTGCTGGTGGGAATGCAAACTAGTACAACCACTATGGAAAACTGTTTGTAGGTTCCTCAAACTGCTAAACATGGAGCTTCCCTACGACCCAGCAATCCCACTCCTAGGTATCTACCCAAAAGACACAAAAACAC